CCTTCTAGTTGCTGTATGTGGGACTCGGCCTCAGGATGGACGGAGAAGTGGTGCCTCGATGCGCACCCGGGATCCGAACCCGGGCCACCAGCATTGCAGCGCGCGCACTTAACCACCAAGCCACAGGGCCGGCCCCAAGTTAGCTTATTCTTATGTCTAGCATTTTCTTATCCTTTTTGGCCTCACTAGCACGTTTGGCTTATGTATATATTTTATTCTTAAATACCTTTGTAGAATCATACTTGATTGTACATAGGTTATACTTAAGTTAAATGTAATTTGTTTTCCCAATTGTTAGCCTATACTGGCATGTGTTCACCAGCATCATAACCTTATTAGAACCTCCTTGGTGTTTCACTGCCATAAGAGCTTTGCAGGGTTGGAACATTTGAATGGCACTAACTACTTTCTCTTCCAGGTAATTTATTAGAAATATTAGGTAAGATTAGTCATTAATCTAGATCTTTCAGAGAACTCACGATAGGTACTTTCATACCCTGTTATTCTCTATAAATATCAAGGTTTATATTAGTTTTAAACTTCCTAATTCAGAATCCAGATCTTTGCCAGTTATTAAATATTTCCCCGGAAACCTTAAGAGAGCTGTTCAGGTTGTCTTGGGAGCTGGCTACTCTATCGAATGTTAAGACCTTGTCTGTCTCTGACTTGGCCGATAGAAATGGGTTACATTGAGATATTTATGACACTGGCTGTGAGTAAACCCTTTTCTGTGAATTGATAGGCATGTGGTGGGAGAACAGTCTCAAGCTTTCAAACCTGCTCATGAACCAGAAGGACCAGGGTTGTTGTAACCTTTGTATATTTGTTCATGCTTCAGAGCTAGTTGAAGGCATTTGTTTAAAGTGCCATTATGAAAGCCATCTTCAAATACTGGCATTTTTTTTATTTGGATCTAGTTATTTCTCTGAAAATTACTTAAAGTAGCATGAAACCACATACCACACACCAGATCAATGAATGAAGGTAAAAAAAGATGAATATTGTCGTAAAACTACTCCGCAGGCTATACAGAAAATGGAAGTTATAAAAGCTTTTATGTTCTTCCTTTCATGTCAGCATGTGTGGTTTTATTTTACATACTTGGTTTTATAGCCAGTTTATGTATAGTCCTTTGAACATAGAATTGGTTTATGCCCAAAATTGATTTAACAGCTTGTTAAATTCCTTGTTACATCAACAAGGAATTCTGATTTTGGTTCTTCAGCATGATTTGTACTTCATTCTAGACATGAACATAAAACGTGTGTTCCTAGTCCAGCACAATTGATAAGAAGGCAATTCCAAAAGGCTAAGCCAAATTTGGGAAGAGCACATGGTGGGAAAGAAGCACCAGGTATAGAAAGAGATGGAGCAGATCAGAGCAAGGCCAAGAAACTGGAAGATAATCTGCTGCAGCAGGGAGACTCTGACCCCCAGCTCCTTCAGAAAGTAAGTCTGAAAAAAATAATTTTTATCAGTGGGCTCTATTTTGTCAGGATCATGAAGGAGAGCATTAAAAGAATAGTTTTGCCTTTTGTACTGTAACTATTTTCATGAAAATTGAGTGACTTTCTAATATTATAAAAATTTAGTAACCAGTCACTTCTGTGTGTGTGTAAGCCTAGAGCTTTAGGCACAACTGCCAAACTAAATTACCATAGAGATTGTTTCCATGGTAATATTAGCTGTTTCTTCTTAAATTTAAGGAAAAAGCTGAGTTTCTGACATCTCTGGAGGTTTCAGCAAGAAAAGATTGTGTAGGTTCCAGAGAGGCTAGTTTGGCCAAAAAAGATGCTCAATCATCAAGAAATGTTGGGGAGAATTCTATATCTTCAATTGTTGAAGAGCAGCATCTCAGTAAACTAACAAGGTAAAGTTTTAACAAATACTCTCAGAGTAAGAAATAAAAATAAAGCAAAATAAGCCAGAAGGAGAAAGACAAACACTGCATGATTTCAGTCACATGTGGAAGATAAACCAACACACGGACACAGAAAACTTTTTGGTGGTTACCAGGGGCAAGGGCGTGGGGGTGGGCACAAGGGGTGAAGGATGCATTTATGTGGTGACTGACAAACAATAATGTATAGCAAAAATTTCACAATAAAAAAAAATTCTCATCACAAGAAAAGAAATAAAAATAACATTCTTTATGGATGTCCTACCTTACTGATAGAGTAGAAAGATGGTTTGTTAACAGAAGTATAGATTGTTTTTTATTGACAGGTCTGTTTCTTTCCCACTTTTGATTTTTATTTACTAAAATTTACTTTTTTCTGATCTTCTTAGGAAGATTTTTATTTCCTACATTTAAAATTTCTGGGTGTCAAGTATATTAGACATGAGCAGAAGCCTGACCAACGAGTAGTATGTGTTACCTAAATAATTAGGGTGCTGAATCGAGTGGAGTCACAGACACAAGTGAAGGGTACCCTTCTTCCACAGTTTTCAAGGAAAGTGGAAGGGAACCTAAGTTCTAAAAAACAACGTTGTTCTGATGAATCTTCCACCTTCCCTGTTTTGACCTAATCTGTTCACCCAGCAGGATAAACCAGCATCACTTTTTGATCCCATATTCTGTGTTTATCAGCCCAGTATCTTTATCCCTCGTTCAGATGATTTCCAGTCTTGCATTTTTTTGCCACTTAAATAGCAATGGGAAAAATGGCCCAGAATTAAAAACTTACTATGAAAAATTTGTAGGTAGATAACTAAGAATTAACTCTGAATGAGAAACTAAGTAGTAGTAACAGTAAATTCCTTTCTTCTGTTCACAGTGTAAGTTTTTGACAGAGTGGGTAGTGGGAGTTTTCATTTTAATGGCTTGAACTGGGATTTCACTCTAAAAGTGTGGTTTCCATTAAAATTATCCTTGTGCGTGTAATGACGGTATTGTTATTTTGATTAAACATCCAGCTGTCCACTGTTAAGAGAGTCAGAGTACTCTAAGATTGCTCTGGATCAAAGAACAGCTGTCTCTTCTGCCTCTGAGTGTGAGAAAGGCCGTAGTGAAAGGAGAATGCGTCGGAAGATCAAACCAAATGTCACCAAAGGGCGCGGATCAAAACGAACTCGGAGTAAGACCTCTAGGAAGGTACCTAGAGCTTCCAGGGCCACGCTGGTGACTCTTCGGGCTTCCCAGGAGGAAGACGAAGATGACGCCGAAGACTTTGAGTGTGACTATGAGGAAGAAAGCTGTCATCTCGCTCCGGAGGAAGTCAACAAAGCTCCAGTGTTTGTCCCTGTGGGTCTCAGGTCTCCCGAGCCTGTCTCTGCTCAGATCGAGGAAACCATGGAAGAGGTATTTTTTTTGTTTGAATCCCTGGAACTTTATTTCACTTGTTTTTTTCCTTTAGTGGATTATTATTTCTTCTCTTAGTGATTGTTAGGATTTGAGAAAGTTCATTCTCTGAACAACCTCTACCAGATGTAATTTGTTGGGGGCCTGGTGGATAGCCAGCCTAAGGCATCAGTAGAAGTCGGCTTGAATGATCTGCGATTACTCAGCCCCTACCGCCCAGGCCCAGCACAAAGTGATCAGCGTAAGAGTAAGGACAGAAATCTGATTTCACTTGTATCTGGAGGCTGCTTAATCTACTTTCTGATTAATTCTTTTTTTAATTTTGGTAGATGTTTTCTTTTACCTTTTTGTGTAGGCTCAGGCTGAGCTCTGGTTGGTAGAGAAGGTAGAAGGGACACATTCCTTTTTTTTGTTTTTTTAATTGTGGTAAAATACACATAAAATGTACTGTGTTAGCCATTTTTAAGTGTACAGTTCAGTGGCATTAAGTAAATTCATGTTGTTGTGCTGCACCATCATCACCACCCATCCACAGAGCTTTTCATCTTGCAAAACTAGAACTCTGTATCCGTTAACCAGTAATTCCCCATTCTCCCTCCCCTCCAGCCTGTGGCGACCACCTTTTTGCTTTGGTCTCTATGACTGCTCTGGGTTACCTCATGTAAGTGGAATCACACAGTATTTGTTCTTTTTGTGACTGGCTTATTTCACTTAGTGTAATGTTTTCAAGGTTCATCTATGTTGTAGCATATGTTAGAATGTCCTTTTTAAGGCCGAATAATATTCCGTTGTGTATATACACCACATTTTTTGAATCTTTTCGTCTGCCAATGGACAGTTGGTTGCTTCCACCTTTTGACTATTGCAATGAATGCTGCTATGAAGGTGGGGGAAGGGTGTACAAACATCTCTTCTAATCCCTGCTTTCAACTCTTTTGGGGATATATCTAGAAGTGGAATTGCGGGTCATCTATTTTTAATTTTTTGAGCAACTGCCATACTGTTTTCCGTAGCAGCTGCATCATTTTATGTTCCCAAATAATAGTGTACGAGGGTTCCAGTTTCTCCACATCCTTACCAACACTTGTTATTTTCTGGTTTTTGGATAGTAGCCATCCTAATGGATGTGAGATGGAGGAACATTGTTACTTCAACTTACTTTATTATAAAAGCTCCTTACTACTTTGCCTGTTGGTCTGTTATTCCATCTGTATAGCTTCAAAGTTTTCTTTCTGCCTTAATTTGCAGTAACTTGTTTTGCTTATAGAGCAGCATATCTGAATCAGTTTTGTAGTAAGCATTCATGATAGTTTCTGAGTCGTTTGAAACAGAATCAGGAGTTAACTGGATAGTAGTGATGATAATAAGAAAAGAAGTAGGAAACATAAAATAATTCAGGTATGTTAAGTTAACCGAGAATTAATGGCCTACTGAATCTGTAAATTCACATTTATGAATGGAAATCCAAGCTCACCTTTATTGGCTATTAATAATCACATGCTAGATGTTATAAAGTTAATGAGTTAGAATGGTTGAAGCTAAATAAAAATGATGCAAAATGAAGTTGTTTCTTATAACTGAAAGTTCAAAGTAAATATAGTGAGCTTAAGTTTTAGTTGAAACTAAGAAAATAAATACAAAAGGAAAGTTAATTTTGTGTAAGGACAGCTGGTTGACACTGCATGAGAATTCATTTGCTGTATGTTTTGTATTTTACAGATTTCTTTGGGTGAAAGGTAAATTGCTAGTGAAAACTAGTGTCAGGAATAAATTTGTGAAAATCAGGTTCCAGAATATATCCCTGAATTAATACAGAATGCCTTCGTAAATAGCGTTAATGATAAGAATTGAGCAACGAAAGATGATATTCCTTATAGCCAGCTTACTAAATCAGGGAAATTCATTTATACGTTAGAAAATGTTTCCTTTAAAAAAGCATTGAAATACAATGGCATGTTATTAAATCATAAAGGGATCTAATGTATTGATACGTGCTACAACGTGAACCTTGAAAACATCATGCTAAGTGAAAGAAACTAGTTACCAAAAAATCACATATTATATGATTCCATTCATATGATATGTCCAAAATAGGAGAAATCTCTAGAGACAGAAAGTAGAGTAATGGTTGCTTAGGGGTTTGGAGATGAGGGATGAAGGGAGTGGTAAGTAAAGGGTGTGCGATTTCTTTTTTGAAGTGATGAAAGTGTTCTAAAAGTGAGTGTTGATGGTTGCACATATCTGTGTATATTCCAAAAAAACACTGAATTATATGCTTTAATGGGTGAATTGTGTGGAATGTAAATTATATCTCAATAAAGCTGTTAAAAAAATAAAGCTTTGAAAAGGTATAGTGCTTAAAGAACCAACTTTCGATTATCTAGGATATCCTCATTTTCCACCCCGTCCCAACTCCTCAGAAAATATTTTGTCTTTTCAAATCACTTGAACTTTTTAATTCACCCCAAGCCTATAGGATATTAGCAAAGATTTTTCTCTAATGTTTGCGTCTGAGAAAACAGACACAGAACACTCTGGTGTTACTATAATAAATGTATCTTGAAGGCAGATTTTTAAACTTGACTCTTTACTCAGTTTCTGCTGAATCACACAGTCTTTTACATTCATCTGTCTGTTAGTAAGGGAGTGGGAGCCAGACTGTCTTGTATAGGATCTGGGAGATAAATCTTAGTTCTTTTAGCCCCAAGATTATAGGGATGTTTGACCAATAAGACTGCCAAATGAAGAGTAGATGTGAGCAAACCCATTTTTTACATGGCCGTTGCTGTGGCTATCAGCATACAGGTTTTGGGGTTGTGGGAGAGGGTGGTTGCCTTGGTGGGGGTTGGGTGGTGATAAATCCTTTTAAGTGCTTTCAACTCATCTATTGTAGCACTTAGAACAGTGTATAGTTAGTTGATTACACGTCTGTTTTTCTTAGCTTGTGAGTCCCTTGAGGGCAGGGACCACATTTGTCTTATTCAGCTTTGTCTTCTTGTACCTGTAGCCCTCGAGTTTCTAGGAAGCACTCAATAAATGTTAACAGACGGGTGAGAGAAGTTATGGGAAAGTAAGAACAAAGTGCGAATAATGGAAAGTGAGATGCTGGTGGGTACTAAGAAGATTAGCTTTGGAAATTTTGCTTACGGTTTGTAAGAATCACAGACCCCTCAAAAACCTTAAATATTTTACTTTTGCCAAGTTGATGTCAATCAGTTTAAGAATTACTGTATTTCAGTTTTTTAATCATGTATGAATGTGGATTATTTCTTCAGTTTAACATTTTATTTTACTCATTTGTTTTGTTTTGCTGTGTATAGTATGCCAGAATGAAATAATGAAACTTTTCATTTTGACAGCTTGAAATAACCGTGAATGTCCCAGATGTCGGATGCATAGCTGTTGTTGAACATCAGCTCTTAAACACAGATGCAACTACTCAGGAAATGGAACAAGAAGGAAATTTGAACGCATTATCTGTTGTAAGCATCCATTTTAGTATGTTTTGTCTTAAATTATTTGTTTACTTTCAAAAGACTGGGAGTTTATTTTGAAAGCTTTAGGTTTACAGGCAGTTCTTAGCTGATTTTTACCATGTAGAGAGTTGTAAGCGTGAATAGTGGAAACTAGTGAAAAATCCATAGGTTTTTTATTTGACTTGAAAAGCATTGATTTTTGTGTGTGGGCATGGTTCTTAATGTTCTCATAGACTAGGTTACCCTTCTACTTTCGTGAAATCTGTACTGAATATAAATTATTTAAATATGTTGAGTTGCGTTTTGTTTGGCGCTCACTCTTTCTTATTTGGTTGGTATTTATCTTGTTTTTGCAAGTGATGACTTGGAATTATAACTATTTTTAACAACTTTGGTAAGATACAATTCATACCCCACACAATTCACACATTTAAAGTGTACAATTCAGGGCCAGCCCCGTGGCTTAGCAGTTAAGTGCTCGCGCTCCACTGCCGGTGGCCCGGGTTCAGATCCCGGGCGTGCACTGACGCACCGCTTCTCCGGCCATGCTGAGGCCGAGTCCCACATGCAGCAACTAGAAGGATGTGCAACTATGACATACAACTGTCTACTGGGGCTTTGGGGGAAATAAATAAATAAATAAAATTATTTTAAAAAAAAAGTGTACAATTCAGTGGTTTTTAGTATATTTGCAGAGAAGTGCGAATGTCATCACTGTCAATTTTAGAACATTTTCATTGCCTCAAAGAGAAACCCCATGCCCATTAGCACTTGCTCCTCATTTCCTCCCAACCCTCCCCAGGCCTAGGCAACCCCTCGTGGACTTTCTGTCTCTATAGATTTTTCTCTTCTGGACATTTCATATACGTGGACACATACAGTGTGGTCTTTTGTGTCTGGCTTCTTTCACTTAGCATAATGTTTTCAGGGTTCAGCGATGTTGTACTGTGTATCAGTGCTTCATTTCTTTTTTTTTTTGGTGAGAAAGATTGGCTCTGAGCTAATGTCTGTTACCAGTCTTCCTCTTTTTGCTGAGAAAGATTGCCCCTGAGCTAGCATCCATGCCCATCTTCCTCTATTTGTACGTGGGATGCCGCCACAGCACGACTCGATGAGCGGTGCTTAGGTCTGTGCCTGAGATCCGAACCTGTGAACCCTGGGCTGCCGAAGTGGAGCGTGTGAACTTAATCACTACACCACCGAGCCGACCCCAGTACTTCATTTCTTTTTGTGGTCAAATCATGTTGCATATGGATATACTACATTTTGTTAATCCGTTCATCTATTTACGGACATTTAGGTTGTTTCCATCTTTTGGCTATTATAAATAATACTGCTGTAAACATTTGTGTACAATGTTCTGTATGGACATATGTTTTCATTTCTCTTGGGTACTTTCCTAGGAGTGTAGTTGCTGGGTCATATGGTAAGTCTGTTTAATCATTTGGGAAACTAGCAGACTGTTTCCAAAGCTGCTGCACCATTTTACATTCACAGCAGCAGTGCATGAGGGTTCCAGTTTCTTCACATCCTTGCCAACATTTGTTATTTGACTTTTTGGATCTAGCCATTCTATTGGGTGTGAAATGGTACCTTATTATGGTTTTGATTTGCATTCCATAATGATTAATGATGTCGAGCATCTTTTCATGTGCTTATTGGCCATTTTTATACCTTTGGAGAGATGTCTATTCAGAGCCTTTGCCCATTTTTTTGTTATTGGTCTGTCTTTTTATAATTGAATTGTAAGAATTTTTTATATGTTCTGGATATGAATCCCTTATCAGATATATGGTTTGCAAATATTTTTTCCCATTCTATGAGTTATCTTTTCATTTTCTTGATGGTTCCTTTTAAAGCCACAAGTTTTTAATTTTGATGAAGACCAATTTATCTGTTTTTTTTCTTTTGTTGCTCGTTCTTTTGTTGTCATGTTTAAGAATCGTTTGCCAAAGCCAAAGTCCTGAAGGTTTACTCCTATTTTACTTCTAAAAGTTTTATAGTTTTTACTGTAGTTTTACACTTAAGTCTTTAATCCATCTTTACTTAATTTTTGCGTATGGTGTGGGGTTACGGTCCTACTTGGTTCCTTTGCGTATGACCGTCCAGTTTCGCACCACTTATTTGAAAAGGTTGTTCTTTCTCCTGCTGAATAGTCTTGTACCCTTGTCACAAGTCAGTTGGCCATAGATGCCTGGCTTATTTCTGGACTCTCAATTCTATTCCGTTGATCTAGACATTCATCCTTGTGCCGAGATGCTCGATTGATTACTGTACCTTGATAGTAAGTTTTGGAATTGGGAAATGTAAGTCATCCTACTTTATTCTTTTTTCAGGATGGTTTTGACTATTGTGGGTCCTTTGCAATTCCATATGAATTTTAAAATCAACTTGTCAGTTTCTGCAAAGATGTCAGCTGGAAGTCTGACTGGGATTGCATTGAATATGTAGATCAGTTTGGGGGGAGGTATTGCCATTTTAACAATGTTGAATCTTCCAGTCCACGATCATGGGATGTTTTCTCATTTATTTAGATCTTCTTTGATTCTTTTAAACAGTGTTTTATAGTTTTTGGAGTATAAGCTTTGCACTCCCTTTGTTAAATTTATTTTCAAGTATGTTGTTATTTTTGATGCTTTTGTGAACGGAATTCTTTTCCTAATCTCCTTTTTCGGATTGTTTATTGCAAGTGTATAGAAATACAGTCAATTTTTGTGTATTGGTCTTGTATCCTGCAACGGTGCTGAACTCATGTATTGGTTCTAATAGTTTTTAGTGATTCCTTAGGATTTTCTACATTTAAGATCACGGCGTGTGTGAATAGCGATAGTTTTACTTCTGCCTTTCCGTGTTAGTTTCCTAGGGCTGCTATAACAAAGTGCCACGAGCTAGAGGGCTTAAATCTACGGAAAGTTATTCTCGCAAGTTCTGGAGGATGGCGTTCCAAAATCCAGGTGCTGCCAGTGATGGTTCCTTCTGGAGTCTCGAAGGGGGAAACCATCCCAGGCCTTTCTCCTCCTCCTGGCAGTTGCTGGCAGTCCTTATCCTTTCTTGGCTTGTGACAGCACAGTTCTAGCCTCTGCCTCTGTTGCCGCATGGTGTTCTCCGTGTGTGTGTGTGTGTGTGTGTTAGGGCCAACCCTAATCCAGCATAACCTCATCTTAACTTGATTGTATCTGAAAGACCCTATTTCCACATAAGGTCACATTCACAGTACTGGGGTTTAGGACAATCTGGGTGTCTTTTATTTCTTTGGTTTGCCTAATTGCCCTGGCTAGAACCTTCAGTACAGTATTGAAGAAAAGTGGCAAGAGTGGACATTCTTGTCTCGTTCCTGGTCTTAGGGGAAAGCATCCAGTCTTTCACCATTAAGTTTGGTGTTAGCTGTGGTTTTTTCATAGAAGCCATTTATTAAATTGAAGAAGTTCCATTCTATCCCTATATTGTGTGAGTATTTTATTATGAAAGGGTGTTGGAATTTGTCATATGCTTTCTCTGCATCTATTGAGATGATCATGTGGTTTTTGTTTTTTATTGTATTGATATATGATGTATTACATTGATTGAATTTTGGATGTTAAATCAAAAATTGCATCCCTGGGATAAATCCTGCTTGATCGTGGCATATAATTTTTATGTTGCTGGATTCAGTTTGCTAGTATTTTATTGAGGATTCTTGTGTCCATATTCATAAAGATCATTGGTCTATTATGAATCTAACACCAGATTCTTGTGGTGTCAGGGGCTGAAGTCCTGCTCGTCCAAGGAAAAAAGTGCTCCAGCTGGGATCTGCAGGGAGAACGGTCTGTGTTCCTGGCTGCAGCAGTCTGAGATGGAGTCTCTGCCTAGCTGACTTGGGAGGAAGTGGGGAGAGAGCAGCCTTAGTTCAGATACCATAGACTCTCGCTTTTGTTACTGAATTTTCATCAGTTTTCTTGAATAGGTGTTTCTGTATCTTATGCCCTTAGGACCATTTCCAGAGGCCTTAAATGGTTGTTTTTTAATGAATTTCGCCAGTTTCACTGGGGGACAGGGTCAGTGGAGCTCCTCATGCTGTCATGCTGGACATCGATCCTGTAACTTCTTAACCTATTAAAATCCACTTCAATTTTAAGTCATTTGGTAGGGTAAACAATCTGCAGTATTCTTCAGACCTTGGTTTCCATTGGTCAAAACTAGTGGCAGATATGATTCAAGTTGAAGGATTATGAAAGTGGAGAAGTAAATTTTGACTATGATCATATTGCATGTTGCAAATTTGCATATAATACAAGGAAAAGGTAAAATAAGGAGCAAGAGACAAAAGAATTTGGCTTTTAAATTGTTTCTGTTCTTGTTTATGAAATTTTATGAATAATTATAAATTAAGGGGAAAAATAGTTTCCACTCCATTGTAATCAAAAGCATAGAAAGACCTGTAAAATGTAGTGCGTTTTGAGATACAGAACAATATATTTGGGAAAATACATAAGATATTAACTTATCTTTTTCTCTTTCAGGAAATGACCACAGGTGAACATACCCCAGATGAAACAGGTAACTGTTAATAAGGAAACTGCTAAAACTATTTGGTTAGTACAATCGCAGAGAGTTAGTGGTGTGCTTCTTAGTAAATGAGTCAGCTTTCAGGAGAGTTGAACAGGAAGATTCAGCTGTTGACTGTGTTACCTCCTTGAGAAGCTTGGAGTCTTGGAATGTTACCTTAGAAAGTGAGTTGAGTTAAATGTTTAATAAAGAAGTATTTATTTCTTCTGCACGGGTGTGAGTATTTTCTTTGAAAGCATTAAGTTGTTTAATGGGAGGGAGGCATTTTCCATGAGTAACAGCCAACAATTGATGATTTCGTTATTTGTAGTATATAAGCTGGACAGAACACTACCCTGGTAAGGGATTAGTGGTACAGAGGATACTGAAACTTGTTACTAGAGGATAAGCACCTGAGTTAAAAATCTTTTCTAAGTAAACAAATTTCCAGATTCATTCTTCTGTTTTAATGTTGCTATATTTTCTCACAAGGTACCAACGATGGAAGCACTGAAGCTGCCATAACTTTACTTACAATGGGAGATTTAGTGCTGCAGTCGGAGATCAGTACAGAACAGAGTAAAGGTAAGAATGAAAAATAAATCCTACAAAAAATGAAACCTTTAAAATCCAACTTCTAAGAGATTGTACCCACACTTGAGTAATAAGTGAATACCTGCCTTTTACATTTGAAGTTGGCATCACTTTGTTGTTTTTCTAGAAAGGGTAATAATATGTGCATTGATCCATCCAACTAGCCCCTTTAGATATAGGGGCCACCATTTCGACCACTTGGTTTATTATTCATGGAATAATTTGTGTATGTGGAATAGTTAATCTAGTGACTCTTCTACCTTTATCATCATAAACATCATTGGTTAACTGAGCTCAGTGATTAGTGATCACTTGATACATGTTCTTTAGCAAAGGAGCTGCTGCTTTGGATAGTCTTCACAATTAAGTGACAGTCGAATCAGGATGAGGGTCAACAGTAGTCATTGAGATAATTTAGACTGTTCTGTTAGTTTGGATTGAGCCAAAAGATATGTCAACCCAGATTTTTAATATTTTAGGCTGACCTTATAGAGAAGCCATGGTCTTTACTATCTAAGTATTGTCTACTTTAAGTACATTAAATGGATAATTATGTTAATTATATTCCTGTTAATTATTTTGACTGGTGATGAGTGGCCTGCCTTTATTTTAGGTGTTAGACTTTCAGGCCCATAACTGTTGATTTATCAGGAGAGTCTCTAATGTGTGTTCCCTGTAGGGCTCCTTTCTCAGTGGCAGAGCATTGCATGGAGCCTGTCACAAATCTCTAGAACATAAAATACAGGTTTTAAAAATTGTAAATGAAGGTGATCCTATCTTGAAATTCATTTGAGGTTCTGTAGTTACTGAAAGTAACAAAAAGATTCATTTTTACTTATAATAGCACAAAAATTTCAGTCTATAAGAATTATTAAACTTAGAACAGGTCAAATCTCTGGCATGAAATATGAGATCATAAATTTAAATTTGGAGCCAAAAAGAGCAAACTTTAAAAATAGTATAGAATTTTACAGTTGCTGAATGTTGAAGGATTTGTTTTATTTGAACATCTATTTGTATTGAGTCCGTTTTAATTTTCTGTTTTTCTTCTGTGATAGGAGTATGTGTACTTCCTGATGTTCATTCAAAGGATAAAAGCCATCTTCCTTTTAGCCCAGATAATGTAGATCATAGAATTGTTTGTGAATGTCAGCAGCTTCCTTCACCTATCAATAGCACATCTCCTCCATCATTAGAAGAAAACAAGATTGTATTGGAGGAACAAAGTACTAAAGAAGAAAGTGGTTTAATGGAGAAAGTGGAGGAAAACGCCGTGTTGGCCAGGTTTATTTTGCTTTATTAAGCTATTATTTCTTTTGAGTTTTACTAAAAAATAAATTATAGTATTCAATTAATATATTTTGGGGCTGGCCTGGTGGCATAGTGGTTAAGTTCACACATTCCGCTTCGGCGGCCCGGAGTTCTCCAGTTCACGTCCTGGGCATGGACCTACTCACCGCTCATCAAGCCGTGCTGAGGTGACATCCCACGTAGAAGAGCTATAACTACAGTGTGATATACAACTATATACTGGGGCTTTGGGGAGGAAAAAGAAAAAGAGGAAGATTGGCAACAGATGTTAGCACAGGGCCAATCTTCCTCAAAAAAAAAAAATTGAAAAAAATGTATAATATATTTAACCAACTGTCAACTTAATTAATAGCTTAGAATAATATTTACATAAATGTAAAGTAGACAGTACTAATTTCTCACCCTTTAAAGTAAGATGGAGGCCGGCCCCATGGCTTAGCGGTTAAGTGCACGCGCTCTGCTACTGGCGGCCCGGGTCCGGATCCTGGGCGCACGCCGATGCACCGCTTCTCCGGCCATGCTGAGGCCGCGTCCCACATACAACAACTAGAAAGATGTGCAACTATGACATGCAACTATCTACTGGGGCTTTGGGGGAAAAAAAGGAGGAGGATTGGCAATAGATGTTAGCTCAGAGCCGGTCTTCCTCAGCATAAAAAGAGGAGGATTAGCATGGATGTTAACTCAGGGCTGATCTTCCTCACAAAAAAATAAATAAATAAAGTAAGATGGGCTGTTTTGATTTTAGTTTAATGGTTTGCATATTAAAATTAGAGCAATATGTGTATCTTTGACTCTTTAATGAAGTAGTTTTATGTAAATGTAGTCTTTGTTTGACAAACGTTGTCCAGATCCTTCCCTTCTCAAGACTTTTAGTAACATTACTACCATGTAATTTTAGCATCAAGAGATAAAGGAACACTTATAGACAATGTGGTACCTGAGAAGGTGGCACATAACTGTGTCTGTGCTAGATAGAATGTATCAATGGGAGAGAGAATTCTTACACGGTTGGTAAATTTCTCTCTTCCCATCTGTCTTTTTCTAGGAATACAACTTCTGAAGTGACCAATAATTTGAGAATGAGAAGTAGATTTGCCGAGACTAAACCAGATCTTAAGATTTTAGGGACCAATAGGTTTGGTGCTCATCAGGAAGTTCCCAGTTTGTTTGTAACTAAAGCAGAAGAAGTGGACGTTCAAAGAGGTAAATTTTATCGTTCCTTTACAGTTACAAAATTACTTTGACACAAGAAATTGCATTATCATTTCAAGTGGAATATTCAGTTGTTAAAATTATTTTATCTTACTGTTAAAAAGTTTCAAACATAACAAAAAGTAGAATGAGCTATAAAATAAATACTCATAAATCCATGTACTAATTTCAGTAATTATTACCATTTTGCTCTATGTACACGATCAGACTTTCTCTTCATATATATTCTTTTCTGTGTGTGTGTGTGTGTATGCATGAATACTCAAGCAGACCTTTCTTAGAAAGGTATACATGCATGTGGCAAAAAATAAGACAGTGCCCAAAAGGCGTAAAATTTTCCTCCTTCCCTCCTTCCTTGGTTCGCAGCCCCCTAATTCCACTTCTAGGGTAAACTGCTGCTAACAGTTTTTATTGTAGACTTCCAGAAATGTTTTATACACATGAGCATGTATATGAGGGTGTGAGTGTGTACACACATCCATCCATATATATATGTACACACACACACACACACACACACACACACATACTATACATGTATATTCCTTTCAGAAAGAACAAAAATATATGCATACATACTGTATCATATACACTGTTCAGCACTTTTTAAAATAACAGTTTTATTGAGATAATTCATACACCATACCATTCACCCATTTATGGTGTTTGTATATTCACCAAGTTGTGTAACCGTCACCATTAGCAGTCACTCCACATTTCCCCCGACCCTTACCAGCCCCAGGCAACCTCTAATCTACTTTCTGTCTCTATAGATTTGTCTATTGTGGACATTTCTTATAATTGAACTCATATAATATGTGGTCTTTTGTTTGGCTTCTTTCCCTTAGCGTGTTTTCACGGTTCATGCATGTTGTATTATGTATCAAATACTTCATTTCTTTTTCTTTCTGAATAATATCCCATTATATAGATATGCTCCAGTTTGTTTATCCATTCATTTGTTGATGGGCATTTGAGTTGTTGTCTTTTGGCTATTATAAATCATGCTGCTAAGAATGTTCATGTATAAGTTTTTGTGTGGAAATGTTTTCATTTCTCTTGGGTTTATACCTACAAGTGGAATTGCTGGGTCATATGGTAATTCTGTGTTTGACCTTTTGATCAACTGCCAGACTGTTTTAAAAGTGGCTGCAACATTTTGTATAGTCACCGACATGCTGTGAGAGTTTCAGTTTCTCCACATCCTCCCAGACACTAGTTATTTATTTATTTATTTTTTTTGTGAGGAAGATCGGCCCTGAGCTAACATCCCATGCCAATCCTCCTCTTTTTTCTGAAGAAGATTGGCCCTGGGCTAACATCCTTGCCCATCTTCCTCTACTTTATATGGGATGCCGCTGCAGCGTGGCCTGATAAGCAGTGCATCGGTGCACGCCTGGCATCCGAACCTGGGAACCCCGGGCTGCCGAAGTGGAGCGCACGCATTTAACTGCTACGCCACCAGGCCAGTCCCCACTTGTTGTTATTTGTCTTTTTGGTTCTAGCCATCCTAGTAGGTGTGAAGTGGTATCTCATTGTGGGTTTGATTTGCGTTTCCTTGATGACTAATAATGTTGAGTATTTTTCATGTGCTTGTTTGTATATCTGCTTTAGAGAAATATCTATTCAGAGCTATGCTCATTTTTAAATTGGGGTTTTTTTTTTTTATTATTAAGAGTTCTTTATATTGTTAGCACTTCGTGTTAAAGATTAAATTAATATATTGAAAAAATCTTTCTGTATGGTCACGTAGTACCCTATTTCATTTTTTTAGTGGCCTCACTATATTGTGATGTCCATGTTGAGTCCTGGTCTCACTTCCCTTTCCACCTCCCTGCCTGCCAAGGGCCCACGCCACAGGGGACTGGGAGGAGCAGGACAAGAAGTGCAAGTAGCAGGCTGCCTAGATGCTATTAAACCATACGTAGAAGATCTCAATAGTTAGCATCATCTTTTCCCTGTTTTGGGGTTCCTGATTTCTGGAATTTCCTTTCGACCAGCAATGCCCGTGGTTCAGTTAGTTAATTCGTTACTTGCTCTGGCTGGAGTGGTACCCCCAAGCTCTCAGTGTGCAGGCTCAAGTTACGGCTTTCATAGAGAAGTCATTTTCTTCCCCTTTGTGACATTGTTCTCTGTAGAACAGCTCCCTCCTCAACACTTCCCCCAAGGTGGAACTAGCCAGGCCTCGTGTGTACCCACCTCTAAGCCTCTCTGGTGTGTGGGTTTCTAATTATAGTGCTGTTATCGTGAAGTGGAGATAGAGTTGCTGTGGCAGCCAGGAGTGCAATATGTGCAGTACAGGTCCATTAATCATTCGTGTTGCTGTTCAAAAATCTCATTGGCTGGGACCACCCTGCTGCCATGTGAATAAGCTTGCTTTTTAGATTAAGAGAAGTTTGGAAGAGCCACTATATAGTGATCTGTCTTTGAAGAGAGAATATGTTTCTAATGTGGAGGTTGTAGCTGTACTATTTTGGACTATAACTTATATGTGTTGTTTTTTTTTTTTTTAAGAAACTGAGAAAAATGCTTCTAAGGCAACAGAATTAGGAGATAAAAACCTTGGATCAGTTACAACAGCAGAGAGTAAGGAGCAGAGCAAATTGGCATGGGTACATGGTATTGAAGAGGCCAGTATTTCAAAAGAAGCAGAGCTAACTGGAAGGTAAAAGAGGGAAGGGGTTCTGGGATTTGACGTGTATTCTGTTTTGACTATAGCCACAAGCCGTAGCTATAAGAATTTGATTGAAAAAAGCGTTCTGTTGGATTTAACATATTTTAAAACTTTGAAAACCATTAAATTAGATGATCTTGGTGCACCTAGCTCTAATCATCATTCTGCCGTTGTCAGCTTGGTTTTACATACAAAACTAACACACACTCTAAAACTCTGATGGGTACTTTCTCTTTCAGAAATGAAGATCAAGAAGAGGGGCCTCACGAGGGTCAGATACTGTCAGTTGCTGCAGTTGTTTCCTCCGAGCCAAGGCCCCACACGCTTGGCTCGGGGGGAGGTCTCAGTGCGAGTTCTGTGGAAGAGCCCCTGAGAAAGGACTCGGATGGAGACAGTGTGCTTACACTTCACGTGCCGCAGGTAAGGGACGGAGAGGACAGCGAGGGTGGCTGGGTGTGTGTCCCCATGTTGAAAAATTAAGGTATAATTTACATACAGTAAACTTCATCATTTTTAGTGTGCAGTTCTACAAGTTTTGACAACATACACAGTCGTGTAATCAATACATGAACAGTCCCATCACTCCCAAAATCCCCTTGCTCTTTTTTTCAGTCACCCCCCTCTCCCCAGCTCCAGCCCCTGGCAGCCAGTGATCTGTTTTCTTTCCCTAGAGTTTTGCCTTTGCAAGAAGAATGTATTGTGATAGAATTTTTATTGAGTATGTTTTTAGTCTCTGGAGCATAGGGATAAAACAGCCAATACCTAGCTTTGCTGTAAAAGCTTTGAAAAAGGAAGTATTTTATACACAGAGAATTCACTTCTTACTTCTTAGCCCCTGAATCTGAGAAGTTCCTTCACAAAGCAAGTGTTTTTGAAATGTTGCTACTACATGTTGGACACTGTGTGAGGCGCTGGGGACACAAAGTGATGGGAATCAGATGAGTAAGTGAAGGGTTAAACTCTGATAGGTGCTGCGGAAGAGAGTGCGCAGGACTCTGTTGGGGCCCCACCCAGTCCAGTGAAACCAGTCTCTGGGAGTAGGGCACAGGTGTTAGCTTTTTTTTTTTTTTTTCCCTAAGTTCCCCAGGTTATTCTGATGTGCAGCCAGGATTCAAAGAATCCTTGATCGGAAGAACGAGTATGAATAAGCCAGTTAAAGGGAGAGGAGCATATGCAATGACGAGGGTGAAACAGAATGACGTGTTCAGGGACTGTGAGTAGTTTTGAGTGAATATAAGTGAAGGGAGTGGTTAGACACAAGTTAGGTAGCCTGGGAACAGATCATAAAGGGAATTTTGGTGACTTGCTAAGAATTTTGATCTACAAACAAAGTTATGGGATTTCCCCCCCCCCAACTTTTTTATTTTTACTTTTTATTTTGAAATAATTTTAAACTTAGAGAACAGTTGCAAGAATCTTACATAGAACTCTCATCTCCCTTTGCTTGGATTCATTAATTGTTAACCTTTTGCCTCATTCGGTTTTTCTCTCTCTCTCGCTCTGCGTCTCTACAGATAGATGCTTTTTAAAAACAGAACCATTTGAAAGTAAGTTGCAGGTGTGAGCCGTCACCCATAAATACTCAGTTTGTATCTGATCAGAACAAGGGCATCCTCTTACAGAGAGTTGGCAGTACTGTCACCACACTGCATGTTGTCACCCTCCATACTACCTGCTAACATTGATTTAATAGTGATACGTCACTAATAGAGTCGTGGTCATTTCTCCTGACTCTTAATCTAGAGTAGTTCTCCCGCCCTTTCTCCTCTTTTGTGAATTGGACACTTTGGAAGAGTCCAGGCTAATCCACAATCTGGATCTTTTTTTTTTTTTTATTGCTTCCTCATTATTAGATTTGAGTTAAACATTTTTTGGCAAGATTACTAAATAGTTGATGTTGTGTTCTTCCTTTTGCATCACATCCGAAGACACACAATATCAGTTTGTCCCATAATTGGTGATACTGACTGATCACTTGGCTAGAATGGTGCCTGCCTGATTTCTCCATTGTAGCAGCCTCTTTTCCACTTTGTGTTAGTAGTTTATCAAACGAGACCCAGCAACCTTTCTCCCAATAGTTTTAGTATGCATTGATGATTCTTGCCTGAGTCTATTATTAACATTGTTGGCTGCAAAATGAAAGTTTTAAGATTTTAAGCAATAGAGAATTACAAACAGAATTGCATTTTGGAGAAAGCAATGTTTGCAGTTTTGTGGAAAACAGATTGGAGGGAGCTATGCTGGAGGCAGGGGGACAGTCAGTCTGCCTCCATTCAGATGTGACCCGCTCACAGTGCAGTGGCTGCTGTGCTGGGGCTGGAGAGAAGGTCGAGGAGTTTGCATCTCGCTCTCCTGTTACTTCAGAAATCGTTGCATAGAATACACATATTTAACGATTTAGACAGAATTCCTTTTATATATATGTTTATTTAAATGAATCAGGAGTTATTGGTATAACTAAAACTTTGAAAACATTTGAAAAATTGTATATGGTTAGATAAGTTGAGTTTTAAAACCATAACTGTCACTGTATCAGATTGTCAAGAAAACTTTTTAAAACTAAGATTTGGGGGCTGGCCCGGTGGCGCAGTAGTTATGTTCATGCGCTCTGGTCCAGCAGCCTGGTGTTTGCAGGTTGGGATCCCGGCGCAGATCTATGCACCGCTCATCAAGCCATGCTGTGGCAGCGTCCCACATGCAAAGTAGAGGAAGATGGCCACAGATATTAGCTCAGGACCAATCTTCCTCAGATTGGCAACGGATGTTACCTCAGGGCTAATATTCCTCACACACACAAAATAAAATAAATAAAAAAAAACTAAGATTTGGTCAATCTCCCTCTTTCGTTTTAATTTTTTATGGCAGTGTACACCAGCTAGTGTTCCAGAAGTCCAACAAGAAAATGTGATCAGCACTCAAGACCTAACAGGTATGATAGTAGCTTCAATAAAGAACCTCGTAGTGTGGTTTTTACCTTCCATTTGACTGTGGAAAAACAAAACAATTTTTTTAGTCTATGATGGCCTTAAATTAAAAACAAAAACTTGAAATATTTTGTGTATTTCAGAATTATAAATTCTCTCCATAGTGAGTCATCTTTATCCTTTATGAAATAACTTTTTATTTTTTATAGACTCTTTAGAGATGAAATAAATTAATGATTTTCTGTTGTTTCATGATTCATCTTTTCATTACTAACTTTTAACCTTTGATAGTGAATCTGGTTGCTAACGTACATCAAAATGATGAGGATGAACAAGCGTTCATTTTAACTCTGGTGGAAATTCCAACCAGTGCAGTAGAAGAATTTACTGATACCGCCGCACAGTTAACGCCAAGCCCTCTACTGCCAGCGCCCATATTGGTCAAATCAGTGAGCACAGAAGAAAGGGGCGACACGAGGTAACGAATGAGCTCAACTGTTTTTGCTGAGAGAAAGGGTGCTTTATGCCTCAGATAGTGTTGATTGAACAAGCCAGTCACTAACGCTGTTCATAATTGTCCTGGAGCTCTTGTTTAGTAATTATATGGTAAATTAGAGAAGAAATCGTTGATTTTATATCTGATAAAGATACCATTTAAATGTATAATATAATACTTTTGTAGGAAACTTGTTTGGTATTTTGTTTTTCAAGCTTCAGTGCATGGTTGTGTGTCCTAGTTGTTAGTTCAGTTCTCTGTGTGAACCACCACCGCAGTATGACAGCTGACAGATGGGTGGGTGGTTCCACGACCAGGAAACAGACCTGGGCTGTGGCGGTAAGAGCGCCAAATCTTAACCAGTAGACCACTAGGGCTGGCTCCTTGTTTGGTATTTTAAGTGTTTTGAAAGCTAAAAGAATTTAGCAATCTGGATCATAAAATGGCTTCTATTAAAGGTGTGGTTAGTTTATAAACATACATATTTTAAATTCTGAAATAAATAAGCATTTGAAGAAAGTTGCAAAAATAATACAGAGAGATAACATTTCTGTATATTCTTACTATTCTTAATTCTTTACTGTGGAATTGTTAAGTTGTATTGTAACAGTCATTGGCTAAGATACTTAATTAAGTCTTTCTAGTAGCATTAGATATCGAAACCTTTTATATTAGGAAGAGACATTTTAGATTAAAATTTTAACTTTACAGGCAAAGAAAACACTATTTTTATACCTTAGATTTAATTCAGTATTATGTAATTTAGGTTGTAAGCCTTTAAGTTTGAATGGAGCTCAAAACTCTCATTTTTGTGGCCATGGCCAAGTGTATATTAGTTACTTTTAAGTTTTTTGGCAGTTTTTGTTGGGAGAGCTCAGCCTTTCACCTCATTAAGTAATTCTGATTCACTGGTTTAATATGTATGTGTTTTCTGTGCAGTATGAGTTTTCCAGTAACTTCAATTGGTCAGAACGCCATGTGTTTATCAAATTCTGGAAGAGACAATTCTGAAAAACCTCCTGCTAATTTGGATCTTATATCTAGGAAGAGACTTCATTGTAGGCTTGATGAAAGTGACCATGTTCCTCCTGCCAAAAAAAATTCACTCACTTCAAGAGACAGTTTTCAAAAATATACCTCCGAGGTAAGATAAGAGTCATTAAGCAAGTAAGTTAGTCGTATTACAACAGATCTATTTCTGTTTTTTCCTTTAGGCTCTTTGTATAAATATAGTTCTAAAACTTTTCACCATAAACAATCCAGGTAAAACCGATTCTGGATTATCACTTCCATCCAGTTCTAGATAAACATTGATGGACATTAATCAGGAAACCCATTTCCAGCTCTGTGTCCTTGGCTAATTAAGTCTGAAAGCATCATGCAGATTTGGATCTTGGCTGTACCACTTAACTGCTGTGAGACCTTAGGCAAGATGGTTCACTTCTCTGATGGAGTTTCCATTGTGTAAAATGATAATAGTCATATCCTCACCACCATTGTCATAATGGTTAATGTTTCCCGTTGCTCTTAGGAGTAACACCAGAACCTCCAAGGCCCTGTGTTTGTCTGGCCCATTGCTCTCTAGTCTCATCTTGTGCTGGTCTCTGCCTCACTCTCTAGCCGTGTTGGCCATCTTTCAGTTTCTCGAATGCACTGATACTCCTTCATGTGCCGGTGCATTTTTTGCTGTCTCTTCTTGATGGAACATTCCCTTTCAAAACATACAGATTTCTTTAGTTCAATCATCATATCTCAGGGAAGCCTGACGCTGCTGTGCAGATTCCATCATGCGTCACTGTGCTGTAGGTTTCTTAGCACCCTCTTGTTTTTGCTTCCGGTACTTTTCATAATGTACTACGCTACGTAACTACACTATGGAGAAGCTGATTTAGAATCTAGATTCTCAAAGGGACGGTTGAAGACCCTTAGTCCTTAGATGATAGCAGACAACAGAGGCAGGGTATCTTCGTATATCTGATAGGTGAAAAGTGGTATCCCAGAATTGTTTTAACTTCTGTTACGATGAGTAAAGTTGAACATCTTTTCATATGCCTAAGAAAGCCATTTGTATTTCCTTTCCTGTGAAATGACTTTCTATATTCTTTAGCCATTTTCAGTTGGGTTGTTGATCTTTTTCTTATAGATTTAGGAGAACTCTCTCTTATGTATGTCTGTGATATGAGTTGCAAATATTTTTTCCCAGTTTGTTGTCTTTTGATTTTACTTTTTATGGTTTTCTCATGCAGACTTTATTTGGTTAACTTTTTAATATGAAAAATTTCAAACATTTAAAACAGTAGACAGACTAGTATAATGTATCCCTATGTACTAGTCACCCAGTTTCAATAATTTATCAGGGCCAGCCCTGGTGGCCTGGTGGTTAAGTTGAGCGCACTCTGCTTTGGCGGCCCAGGTGCAGTTTCTGGGCACGAACCTACACCGCTGGTCAGTGGCCATGCTATAGTGGCGGCCCACATACACAATAGAGGAAGATTTGCCACAGATGTTAGCTCAGAGTGCATCTTCCTCAAGCAAAAAGAGGAGGATTGGTGATGGATGTTAGCTCAGGGCCAATGTTCCTCAGCAAAATAAAGAAAGAAAGAAATAATTTATCAGCATTCCATGCAGACATTGTTTTTTTTTTAAAGTATATTTAATGACATGAAAAAATCATAGTACGTTACTGTATGTAAAATTAGGTCACCAGTTTATAACATGCCATTTAAAAAATGATAGAGGTACATTGGTGTGACTAAATATATAAAGAAAGTATAATGTCTGTCGAGCTTATTTGTGATTTTTATTTTCTAAACTGTGTTTTCAGCATTTTAACAATAAAAAATTGCTTATAAAAAGTCAAAGTTATAGTTTTAAAATTCTAGACTGCACACGTAACTGCAGACATTTATGCGTGTGTGTAATCAGATTTATCAGACTTTTTATGTATATAACATACTCTGGAGAGTATGTTATACATTGAAAGTCTACCTTGAGATTAAACATAAATTCTTCTAGTTAATATTACTGATTTGTTTAGAGTTTATTTAAACAATAAACTTTATTTAGAGTTTATTTATTGTTAGGAAGAGTGGAATCAACTTACTCTTCCCCAGATGCCTACGCAGTTGTGTCAGCACCATTTATTGAATAATTCATCCTTTCTCCATTGATTTAAAATTCCACTTTTAAACAGTTATTAAATTCCCATATTATTTGGGTATATTCCTGAACATTCTTTTCTTCTGCCGTGATTCACCTGTTTATTCCAGGGCCAGTATCACACTGTTTTCATTATTGTTGCTTTTAAGTGCTTTAATATCTTGAGAGGATAGCCTGTCTCTCCCCTCCATACAATTTTTTTCTTTTTTCAAGTTTCTCCTAGTTGGTTATATGTTTTAAAGTTTATATTAATTTTAGAATTAGTTTGTGCAGAGCTTTTAAAAACAATCCTATTGGTACTTGTATTAGGATCATATTAACTTGACAGATTAACAAGGGGAAAATTGATGTCATAATTGTGATGTTGGATCTTCCTATCCAAAAACATGGTATGTCTTTCCATTTGTTTAAGTCTTTTGTGTCTCTCAATGGTATTTTGAGCTCTTCTTTATATCAATTCTGGTACGTTTCTTTTTTTTTTTTTTTTTTTTTTGTGAGGGAGATCAGCCCTGAGCTAACATCGGTGCTAATCCTCCTCTTTTTGCTGAGGAAGACCGGCTCTGAGCTAACATCTATTGCCAGTCCTCCTCCTTTTTTTCTTCCCCAAAGCCCCAGTAGGTAGTTGTGTGTCATAGTTGCACATCCTTCTAGTTGCTGTACGTGGGACGCGGCCTCAGCATGGCTGGAGAAGCGGTGCGTCAGTGCGCGCCCGGGATCTGAACCTGGGCCAACAGCAGCAGAGCAGGCGCACTTAACCACTAACCCACCAGGCCTGCCCCTGGTACGTTTCTTATTAGGGTATCCCTAAGAATTTTATCTTTTTTGTTCCTATTGTCATTGAATTCTTTTCTATCTAGAGGGCTTACTGGATTCCCCTCATTGTATGTAGTAATTTTTCAGTTGATTCTCTTGCGTTTTCTTTCTTTCTTTTTTTTTTTGTGAGGAAGATCAGCCCTGAGATAACATCCATACCAGTCCTCCTCTTTTTTTTTTGCTGAGGAAGACTGGCCGTGGGCTAACATCTGTGCCCATCTTCCTCCACTTTATATGGGACGCCGCCTCAGCATGGCTGGACAAGCGGTGCATTGGTGCGCGCCTGGGATCCAAACCCGGGCTGGCCGCCAGCAGCAGAGCGCGCGCACTTAACCGCTATACCACGGGGCCGGCCCCGTCTCTTGCATTTTCTAAGTAAACAATATCATCTGCAAATATAATTTTAATTCTTCTCATATGCTTTTTATATCTTTAATTTTTTTCTCTTTTCTAATTGTATTGGCTAATGTAACTCAAAAAAAAAAGTCAGAAAATAGTCCTAACAGTGGGTATCTTTTTCTTACTCCTGACTTTACTGGGAATACTTCTAGGGTTTATGAAGTGGGATGCTGGCTTTTGGATTACGATAGTTATATATATGTATATGTATATATACATAT